TTTTTTCCTTGGCATATACATGGCTAAGATTTTGTATGAATGATTTTCATGAGCATTTTGACCGAAACAATGGTATTTTATAATGCCTAAAAATGCTTATTTTGACGTTGCTGCCTATTTTTGCCTAAAACACAAAGTTTAGTTTGTTTTCATATTTTTAAAAAGTTTTTACTAATTTTTCGTTTCATTTTCCGCAAAGGTTTACTTTAATTCTTAAATTAAACTGCTTAAGTTTCATTTTTCTTCTGAAAATGCAATCAGACAAATTCATTTTTTTTAAAATTTATTTTTCGTAATTCGCTTTTATTTATTAAATGTCTATTGTTATTTTGTAGTGCGTTATTTGTCGTATTAGTGAGTTTAGAACGGAGGAAGAGGAAGTGTTTGTTTGTTAGAAAAAAAAACAAAATAGCAATCTTGTTTGTCACGTGATCGGGTATCCTTTATAAAAGAGATGACCTGGGATGGACGGCGAGTTAGAAATGAGAACGGAGAAGTTTGGAGTGGTTCTGCTGGTGTTTGTTGGTCACGCGTGGTGTAGGCAATCGGATGAAGACGATACCAGGAGCGTACGAGTTAATTACGGAGGATGGAGACCCATTAGGGGGAGGAATCATTACGCTAGGAAGCTGAACGACTCGAAAATCGACCCCTCTCAAAGAAACTTATACGTTGTAGTGCCGAGTGAATTAGTTAACGCCGCGAAGGAGCCTGTTAGAGAGCAGCCAAAACACCATCAAGAAGATTATCACGCGGCAGAATCTCAAGTTAAGCAACTGAGAGCGTTGGATGCCGAACCGTTCCCCGTTTCGGAACCCATTACAGATTTGAGGACTTTCATTGGTGCTAAATTCGAAGACCAGCACGTGCAAGAATCTCAACAAAGTGAAGTCTTTCATCAAACTATTTTTCCTGGTAAACCACCACCGTTTAATGGAGAACGAACCAAACTTCATAATAATCACCCCGGTCAGAAAGAAGGAAACGATCCAACGTTTGAAATCAGTCATCAAGGTGTATTGCAGTTAAAACCCATCGGTATTATTCCTAATTTTCCAAATACGGGACATTTTCAACACGCGGAAGATCTTAATGTTCAAGAGAATAATCTTCACGGTTTAAGAGGATTTAAACAAGAAGGAGTGGAAGTGGCACAGGAGCAACGTCCTCATCCCAATTTCCACAAAAATGACCATCACTTTGGATTAAGAATACGTAATCAGGAGACAAAATTAGTAGAGGAGAAGTTTAAACAACAGAATTTTGCAGATAACTCTGAGAGAATTCATCCTAACGCTGAAGGATACGAAAATATTGAGGTTAGTATTCATTTTTTTTTTTTATAGATTATGTTACCAGTTTTCCTTAATACACGTTAAATTAAATAAAATTTTAATAATACACGTTTTATATACAATATATACAATACAATACAATATATAAATTGATATTTAAGGTGTCGTTATTGTTTTCTAAGAGTCTTTTCCTGCTAACAAATGACCCATAGTCTGTTGTTAGCAGGGTGAGTCCATTAATTAAAAATATAATTAATGAATCTAATTTTATGTATATATTATAGTATTTTGAAGGTCATTCAAGTGTCCATTCAAGTGAAAAGCGTTTACCTCCTAAACGCTATCATCCCTCAATTCGTCCCAACTCTGCCAACCAGCAACTGTTTCAATCTAACAATGAACACCAATCATCTGTAGTTACTAACATAGGTCAACAACCATCTGTCGTTAATGATAGAGAGCATCAATCATCTGTCCATTTCCAGAAAACACTCAGCAGTCAGTTACATTTTGGAGAAAATACAGAACCGAAGGACCACTACGAGAAAGGCGAAACGCGATTTATTTCGCAGATCGACAAAACTGTAAATGCTCATCCTTCTTCTCGTCCTTATCCGTCCAGAGGCACATATTTTCCACCATTAATAAACCCGAACATCAATGTAGAGCCGAATAACGCCGTGCCTTTTCAGCCTTCTTTTAGACCTTCCGTCGGCCCAGCCGTTCCTCATGGTATAAGACAAGAATTTGTTTCTGCTCCTCAACCTCCGCAACAACCATTGCCGAACTGTGCACCAAGGATTAGCAACGAAAACCATAATCTTGAAAATTCTTTAGAAGAGATCACTGAACGATACGATGCAAACTTGCTGTTTCAACACGTTCCTCTTTCTCAAAATGGATTACTGCGATTAATATCAGCTGGAGGTAGGTATTTTTCGCTCTTCCCTTTGTATATTGACACTAAAAAAGTCTCAGCTGTTGAGTATTCGATCAGATCCTCGCTGGGATCAGCCTCCACGATGGGACAAAGGGATAGAAATTCGATCTGTGAAGAGCCAAAGTTTGCTCTTCACTCGATCCCTGATCTTAACATTAATTAATGACTTCATTGCTTTAGATGTGCTTTAATAATTATTATCTTGTATATAGAAATGCCACTCTGCAATTACTCGAAACGTCAATTTTTATTGTAATGTTTTGCTTTCAGGCCCGTATACTTTATTCCTACCATCAAACGAAGTAATTTTGCGTTTGCCACAACCACTTTTACAAAAATGGAAAAGAAATCCTCAGGCATTGATGTTTATTCTTCTAAATCATGCCGTTCATGGAAGAGTTACACTTTCAGATCTGCGTGAGAAAAGACTCGTGGAGTCCAAATCAAACAATGCACTCTTATTTATTAACGATTACAGGAACGAAGTAAGCATCTTATGCCTCTGTAAAGAAGGCAGGTATAGCCTGAACTAGTTTTAAAATGTTGTCTTGCCTTCCAGACAGTTACTATCAACGGAAGAAGGATAATAACAGCTGATATACCAGGTCCACACGGAGGTGCCATACATATAATTGATGGAATTCTTCATCCGCCGGCCGATAAAGACATAATAGATACCATCACGGTCTGTGATAGATTTGATGGTTTCCTTACTTTAGCAGATGCTGCTGACGTTACGGGATATTTACGTGGAGGTAAGTAACAATTATTACGTAAAATTTGTATAAAAATTTAATATATAACCGATTGATTTTACTTACAAGCGGGACCATTCACTCTATTTTTACCAAGCAATGATGCTCTGATGAAGATCGAAAAAGAGGACATGGACATTCTTAAATCTAACATCACTGCTCTTAGAGGTAATACCACTTGGCAAATTAACATTTGCCAAGTGGGCAAATTAACATTTGCCCTGCAAAACGTTATACCCTATTTGTTGGGTTATCTAATTCTGTCTAAATTAACATTTGTTGATTGAGAAATTTAATAAAATTATATTTCATCGAAATCGTCCTCATATTTTTGTGTTCTTTTTAGAATTTCTCCTGTATCATATTCTGGAAGGTGTATATTATGGCGGCGACTTACTCGATGGTCAATATTTACAAACTGCATACCAAGAGCATTCAGTTAAAGCTGGAATTAGGGTCGATGGTTGCTACAGTAAGTATATTTTAACTTCCTGCAGATAACACGCTATTTTCTTAAAAATAAGACTTTAAACATACAATAATCACAAGTAATTCATTCCTAAAAGTACAAAATTCACTTTCAGGGCGTTTTGCCGAAGTCAACAACTCTCCAGTGTATCGTGCAGATATTCCAGCAAGAAACGGTGTAGTTCACGTTATAGATTGGGTTATAAGACCCACGGATTTAGACTGGTGCGAAGGAATGGTATTGCCATGAAGAAGCAATGACTTCAATTACGAACTCAGGGACAAATAGCAATTCGATAACATTAACATAGGCTAATTTTTATTTTATAATAAAATGTTTATATAGATTTTGCAACCAATTTTTCAGGCCTATGGCAATTTGTGTTCAGTTATCGATTTTAACAGTTACGAAATACTTTTTTACAATCTTGTTCTTATTTAAATGAGAGAAAATCAAGTTTAATTACTTTCCTTGTTTTCAAATAAGTTAACATAAACTTTAAACTTTTTCATGTTTTACTCAGATAATTGTCATTGGAACACTTTTTATTAAAATTATCGCTCTTTATTATTATTTATATGTTTCGGTAAATGAGATTTCTTCTTGCATATTTCTTTCTCATTATTCTTAATAAATATTAATTATTTTTGCTACTGTTTTATTTACTCGATTTTTCGTTCTGATGGCACTAACAGGGTCTTTTTCCGAGTCCATCAAAGACATACTGATAACAAGTAAGAGTGAGGGACAATCTCGATATATCTCGTCGGATCACCCATGAAGATATGTGAAAAGTTCCTACTTAAATTTGATACTGAATCTCATAGAACAGCTTAGAACTCCTTTACAGACTCGGCCATCTATATCTTTATTATTAAAATATGGATCTGTGAACGTACCCAATTTTGATATTTGAGTCGATACAACTTTTGTACGACAAGAAATGTTCATCTTTGACAATGACTTTAATTGTCATATGTCAATTTCTCTTATAATACCCTACACTTTTAAGCGGCCGGATGGCCGAGCGGTTAACTCCTCAGCCTTCCACTCTAGAGATTCAAGAATGGTGAGGAATTGAGGATTCAAGAATGAATACGTCTGGCTCAATTCCTCACATCCACAGATGGTGAGGGATTGAGCCAGACGTATCCGGGATTCATGGTGAGGGATTGAGCCAGACGTATCCGGGATTCATGGTGAGGGATTCATCTGTGGATGGTGAGGGATTGAGCCAGACGTATCCGGGATAAACCACTCCAAGAAAACTCCAAAGGTTTTCGACTACTCGGATTCGATCCCGGGTTCCCAAGAGCGGCAGGCTGAAGTCTTAACCGTCTCAAATGCCACCATTTTGTTTACATTAAATTGTAAGAATTGTCAATATTTTAAGATAAACTAATTTACATTCTTTTAGTAGCGACCTGCTTTTTCATTGATTCTTAATGTCGAGAACTGGTATGATTAGAAAATATTGTTAAGTTAATGAAATCATTAATGCGAAAATAAGTAAATGTAAATTCTATAGACGAATAAACTATTCGTTTCAGAGGAATATTGACAGTGGATAGTATGTATTATTTAATATAATGAGACGGCCGAACGGTTAAGGTGGCAACCTACCACTCTGGAAAAACGGAATCTGCCAAGGAATGATAACTCTTACAGGACTTTCTATAAGAAAAAAACTAGCCACTATTTAGGTGTTAGACTCGTGAAGAAAACCCGTTTATGAAGCGTAAACCCACTATCAGTGTCCAGTGATTTTATCCACTTGCCACTGGTGGGAAACATTTATTTATATATAACATTCATGCTAAACAGAGACTTTAGCGATACAGAAAATACTGCTTAATATGGGCGCCATTTTGATGATGTAAAACACGAACGGTTGAACAGTGTGTTTAACGGCCAATTATAATTAATCCTCTGCAACCTTCTCACGTGCAGTTTAATACTGTGTTTCAATGCTGCCAAATTTGCAATTTGTCTTTGATAAACCACACTTCTGAAGTGTCCTTACAACCAAAAATCATAAGGATTGAGATCCAAAGCACCAAAATTTTGTTTATTATGTTATGGTAACGCCACAGTTGGGCGATGCCTTCCGGGAGGTCTTTTTAAGGGAAACTGGCACCTATTTAGACATTACAGACGTGGAAAAAACCCGGAAAACTCCACGTGGTCAGCCTGTCTGAGCGAGTCGTGAATCCGCGACCGAACTCTCAGTGTTCAGGGTAAGAAGACCGCTTGGCCACTGGTGGGCACAGCACCAAAAGGGCTATGGTGAGTATTGATAGATACTAATTTTTTTTTACGGAAATGACTACTGCATATCCTGAAATATCACCTGACAAATTTACTTGCATTTGTATTACTAAATCTTTCTGCAGACAGCGTTAAATAAGGGTACATTAATTACTGCCAGGGTGCGAGTGGCTAAATCACCGAACACTGGTAGTGGGCGTTCGGACATTAGGGCTCGTGCTTGGCCAACGAGTTGGCCACGAGGAATTTTCTTCACGTTAGCGACACCTTAATGGAAGATAGTTTGCCATAGTCCTCCCAGGTGGTATCCGCCAACGGGAAGGTTGTCCACGTGTCGCTTTGCCGTATACAAATAAACCAAACCAAACCTTTTTCTGTAATGGTGCTGTTTCTGTTTATACTTAAATGTAAACAATTTTAATGCTATTTGCAAAATAATTTTATACAACCGATAATCCATTTTTAATGTAATTTTAAATTTTTACTAGATTTTATTGTCTGGCTTATTTATGCGATTGTAATGTATTTCCTTTTTACCTTTCGTGTTTTTTAATGATGTAGAACTTTTAATGCTTTTTATTGTAATTTTTATTCGTTTTGCTTTTCTATATGGGATATTTTCAGGGGTAGGTGTGTACCGCACCGGGCCCCTGGAAAGCGATAGGCCCATGGGAGCCCCAAAATCACAGGAAAAAAAGAACCGAAAAATTTTTCACGGCAATCAGAACAAAGCAAAATTTGGCATTTGGCTGCTGGAGCCCCTATTACAGTCGACCCCCCTATAAGATATAGATACGTTTCATTCTTTAGGAATCCGATTTCTTACGAATCCTTCCAATCACAACCCGACACTTGTCAAGTTTACGGACTACGGCTGTTTGAAAGATTTTCTTCCATAAAATTAATCGATTCTAGACTAATCCGACTCAACACTTCCAAAATACGTATATTTTTTTTTGGAAATAATCCGTATAAACTACGCTATAAATAAAAAATTGTAGGATTACTTACGGAGTGTCACCATTCGGTAAGATGTACCCTCCGAATGAGGGGGTAGCCATCAGGGCCGGCCATCGGGGGGGTGCGGCGGATGCTGTGCACCGGGGCCCCGCGATTGAGGGGGCCCTAACATTGTCAGGAATGCGCAAGAAAAGTCGACAATATTCCTATCGTTGTCAGTATGACGAAAAGTACATTTTATCGTAAACATTATTATTGTAATCTCTGAATTTCGACAATCTTCAAACTAATTCTCGGTGATGCGAATGTTTAGTTTTTGTTATTTGATTCGGGAAACTCCCGAGAATCCCCACCTAAATTCGACTTTTTAAAAAAAATCTCAATACCATATAGCCCGCGTTAAGAAATGAAATAATACTGTGGCCGTCGGCCATATAAAATTATATGTATATTTGCATATAGTCGTANGCCGCTAAAGGTTCGCCTACGGTATATCCGGTCACGTGACATCGTGGTCTCTACCGCGCGCGCTGTCGCAGACGCCTTCCTTAGGTCTCTGTCTCCTCGCGAAACCCCGTTCCGCCTTCGCGGTCGCCATCTTTCCCTTCCACGCTGGTCCGCGTCATCCGCCTGAAATCGCCATCTGTTGCCTGTAAATACAACTATACAATATTATTTATTAGTCTTATTTTCGCCGGGCCGCGAACCCGGGTCTATGTTGACTGTAGTCCAAGCCTTTCTCCACTATTCCAGCACGTCCGCTTACCAGAAATATTCGGAACTCATATTTGAGACAAATGAGCCCAAGGACAGCACTGCGCATGACAGCCAAATCACGTGGTCGTTCCTCAGCCATAGAGATGCAGTGCTCCGCGGGCCAATGGGGCGCGCGGTCATGTGACACTCGGACCCGTCTTTCGAGGCTTCGCGGGCCAATGGGGTGACGACCGCGGGTCACGTGACACTCGTAACCGTTTCCCGCGGTTATATAAGCGTACTCGCCTTTATATCCTCGAACCCAGTATTTGTTAAGTGTTGGAAACTGCAACATGCCTTATTCATGTGATATTTCGGCGTCTCCCGTTATGGATCCCGCCACAATATTCAATAATATAACATCTTACAGTTTTCTTCGCTATCTCCCCACCGAAGAGGCTGCACAGACGTTTTGCCATCTTGTGGGGCTCATCCTCAAGGGCTCATTCGTGCCCCATCCGGACCTAACCGGTTTCTTTCCGCCATGTCCTAAGTGCGGAGGTAAGCCTTTTCTCGATTCCCGCGTTTACACGAGTGCTATCTGCAGCTATGTAGGTTAATGCTACTAATGGTTCGAAAATGGCGTCGCTTCGGTTAGGTTCGTTTCGTTTTTGTTACATTAGCTACATTTTTATCCGTCTGGACCACAAACCGTCGGAAGTACGGCCATTTTGAAACCATGGATAACAGTAACCGCTATCCTGTTTCGATATTTGACCCGTGGGTTAATAGTAGTAGTATTGGTAAACCTTAACTGCCAATATTTCAATTTACTAGTTTTTCGATATTTTTGTCGTAATCTTTAGGCACTATGCGGAAGGAACCGGCTCCATCTGACAGGTTCGGATTCGTCTACCGCTGTGAAAAAGTACAGCAGAAAAAGAAGATGAGGAGGCGGACTGGCGGCACCGTCTTCAGGGCCATGTGCACTGGTTCCCTGTCTTGCACCCACAACACCTTTTTCGAAAGGACACAGCTGACAGCCCAAGAGGTATGACATTTGAAGTCGCTCGCGAAACGTGATCGCAGAATCGGCGGTTTCTTTTTCTCTGGGTCACGTTACGCTATGCATTTCTGTAGTTTGATCGTATGGCTTGAGATGATATGTGTTTTGTTGGTTTTCTATTTTACAGGTGCTGATGCTTGTCTATTCGTGGGTCAAGCAGGAGCCGGTCACCGTCGCCGCGGAGGAATGCGGCGTGGCCCCCAAAACAGCGGTAGATTGGTACAATTACTGCCGTGAAGTTGCGGAGGTTTTCGTCTCCCACCAGCAAAACATCCAGCTCGGGGGTGAAGGCATGACCGTCGAGGTGACCATCGACCCACGTTTCTGACTTTGCCGAAATGTCTGTCTCTATATTCGTATGTTTTATTTTCAGATCGACGAGACCTTCACCCGGAGGCGAAAATACAACCGCGGCCGCGTAACTAAAGGCACCCAAATCACCATCTTCGGTGCCTATTGTCGGGAAACAAAAGAGGTGATGTACTGGCATGTAAGTAGTAGCCAAGCATTATTATTTCCTTTTATTTTTTAGTTTTTGTGGAAGTTTTGTTATAGTTTCTCGTATTCTTTCAGGTGGACAACAAGAGCCGACGGGTTCTCTGGAGCCACATGCTCAGATACATCGCCCGCGGTTCCATCATTGTTTCCGACAGCGCGGCCCAATATCGCGGTTGTACGACGATGGGCTTCTCTGAACATAAGACCGTTAATCACAGCCAGCGGGGCCCCGGGAGGTAAGGAAGATAAAACTGCAATGTGTTATGTGAAAGAAATGAACAAGCGTTATTGAAAAGTGACATTTTTCTTTTATTTTCCGAGCAGATTCGTCGACGCCGATGATCCCGAGGCCCACACTCAGAACATCGAGTGCAGAAATCGCTGGCTGAAGAAGTCCATCAAGTCGCTCCGCACGGACAGGAGCCTGCAGAGCTACAACTGTACGTACGTGTACAGGACGCGGGTCCTGTCCCAGTTGCCAACAACATCGGCAAAATTCCGGCAGTTCATCGGGGACATCGTGGCCGTCTACCCGGGCCCCGGTCGTCAGGGTCTCCAACTCCGGACGATCGGTGTGCCCGTGGATCAACATCTGCCGCCGGACGAGCCCTATTTCGATGTTCCCGTGCACGAGGGCGACGAAGAGGAACGGCAGGGGGATGACGACCGCCCAGTGAGTAGTGCAGCTTGTGTATATTGCGCGTGACCAAAGGATACCTATTTGCGGATGTGAAACCTGGATTATGTGATTTTTCAGACAACATCGGGCGCCAACATCTTCGTCATCGACCCCCAGGACCTAGCCGAGGCGGGGACCAGCGGCCTCACCCCGTCCTCACCTACGCAACATCGGGAATAGGCTAGGCGTCGCCAGGTAGCGAAAGGATGTGGCGGGAGACGCAGGAGGAAACGCTGTTGAAGGTGAGTGTACAATCTGGTTTCAAAACGGTTTTCTATTAGCCTAAGTAGTGACAGTCACCTCCGGAGAGGTAGGTCAGGTGTTTTGGACAAGCCGCGAAAGCGGCGCGTAGTACTAGCCGACCGTGATCGAAACCCGAGTGTGTCGGCGAATGAGGGCCCTAGGCCCCGAGGTCAAGGATGAGCGCGGGGTCGTGCGAAAAGGACCTAACTCGGCAATAATTAGACTGCAGTAACGTTAGAATAGGTCGATAGGCTTAGTAGAAAGAGCGACGCGACTCGTCGATCCCGATCGCCGGAAATGACATAGGCAACTCTTTACAGGGCTATATCTCGTAAAGGGTCGCGCGCAGGGGTATGGTTCCTTTGACTTTTTCGTTCGCACGGAGGGGTCTTCAATTCGGGGGGTCGCCGAACCGCTCATTCGCAGGGTAAATTGTGGCTAACATGCGGTCACGTGACCCGTAGAACAATTTTCGGAAGGCTATATCTCGCGAAGGGTCGCGCGTACGGGGGTGGTTAATTAGACATTCATTGTTCGTACGGGGGAGGGCTACCCCCTCATTCGGAGGGTAAAGCCCTGGTCACACTATGCGATTTCCAGCCGCGCAGGCGACTGCAACCGCGACTGCTGTTCCCGTTAACTAGTAATCCTCCCTTGAAAACCGGCGCGACTGCAACCGCAACTAGAAACAAAAAGTTTGTTCTACTCGCGACGATTGCAAACGCGCATCCAATCAACAAACGCCTTTGTGCCACGTCATACAGTGACAACATTGAAAATAGTTCATCATCATGGTGGATAGTTAGAGGATTAATACTTTTACAGAATCGAGATTGATCGAGCTTATTCAGGCTCTCGAATACCTGTGGAATTTTAATTCTTCGTTTTATCGAAGATTTTATCTTTTCGTGTATTCGCGCCAGCTCTATCAAAATAATCGCCTTTTTTCTTTTATTCATTCCAGAAAAGGAACTGCTTGCTATTTTAATAAGAAAAGTGGCTAAAATTCCGTAAATACTCTGAAGTAGAACGTAAAATATCGGCAAACTCACGAAAGTAGTCAAAAACAAGCTACTGTAATTTTATTGGTTTATTATAGGG